TTGTTAATTAGGAACTGGTCCTTGCAATAATATCGTACTTGTTTTTCTTACTCAGAGCCAGCAGATGAAACTCTCCACAGTTCGATTTAAAAACCTTCTCTAAGTTATAGACAAGACAGATAATTGGCACGTCAAAATTTGTCACGTCTCTCTGTTTTTGATAGGGACTTGTAACCTTATACTAAGGCAAGTCTAATATAACATGGAGGTAATTTAAAGAAAAAATAAAAAATAAAATGAGATGTTAAATGAACATGCAAATTAACAATATTATAATGGCGAACAAAAAATATTATAAGTATCAGACTCGTATGCTCATCAGATTGGAGATTTTATGGCCCCGTTTGTTTTATTAGTTTGAATCACAACTCAAATTTTTGTTACAGTGTTTTCTCACACATAAATTCACATTTTAACTAAAATTCTAGTAAAACGAACGAGATATATATATATATATATATCAAATTATCATATTGTCATACTATACGGAAAATCTCATGACGAATAATTAATTTCAAGTGTGGTGTAATGCTAGCAATAATATTGAAAACAATTAAGCTATTGTCAACTTGGTGGTCACGGAACGGTGAAGTAATCAAAACAAAAGAAAAATAATTTGTGCATGGCTAATAGGACAGTGTGGTACGACGCACGGCCTTAATAAATATATTCTCTTATTGTAACTCTATAGCAAAAACCAAAAACCAACCAAAAGATTCAGTTCCTGAGAGAGAGAGAGAGAGGAGAGAGAGAGAGAGAGATCAGATAACTAAGAGTTTGAAAAATGGGAATGAGAGGTAGTAAGTTGGGAAGATATGTAGGAGCTAGAGGATTCAGCATGAAACGACGTCGTTTGAGAGGACCGCCATTGACGCCTCGAGGTTATGTGCCTATTTGTGTCGGATTAGAAGATGACACTGCTAAACGGTTCATGGTTCGTACAACGTTGTTAGGCGATGCAGATTTCTCGGAGCTTCTGTATAGATCAGCTGAGGAATATGGATTCTGCAATGAAGGGATTTTGAGGATTCTTTGTGGAGCTAAGGATTTTGAGGAGCGGATGACCAAACGCTCTAAGCCAAAAGTTTTCAAGGTCAAACCGATTTAGCCGTTATAATTTATTAGCTTAATTAGCTGTGGATTTTAGTGTTGTATGTGTGTATTTGGTGCAAATATGTGATTCATATGTCATTGGAAGTATATAATTAAATTATGGGATTCCGGGGATTATTAAGATCCTCACTGAAGTGTAATAACGGCAACTAATTTTATGCTATATATTGGCGTGTGCATATATGGGAATAGGAGATGCTTATTTATTTATTTAGTATAGTTTCTTTTTTTTTTTCCCTTCAATATTTAGTATAGTTTCTTAGAATATGATCATTTTTTTTTTAGGAATTGATCAACTGATTATTGGGTTAATTTTGCCTGTTCTTTGAAGAATTAGTATAATCTCAATTTGATTGTTGATTCATGTGTAATGGTACCTTTAACTGTTAAAAATTGGCATTTTTGTCCGTAAAGTCTTAAAAAAAATGGACGAAAAATAATAATAACTAACGCTGCACCTTAACCGTTAAAAATTGGCATTTTTGTCCGCAAAGCCTTAAAAAATGGACAAAAAATGTACGTGCTACTCACGCGTGCACTTTTGGGGTTGGATCCGTCTCGAATTCCGAGCTCAACTATTGTCGTAATTGTTGACGGATCAGATCAGACTACTATCTTACGTTGGAGATGTCTCGAAGAGTTGGCAAGCACCTATGTAGACAAGCTTTTTGAATACAGAGGTGTGACCTATTATTGGTGGCGGCTACCATATCATCGTCAAACCTTAAGAAGTACTTCATAGTCATTCGTCCAACTACAGCCATCGATGAGCTTCTCCTTCCTCTCATCGTGAATTTCTGTCCACCACTTTTCCTTTGTCTTTGCCAATGATTCCCTTGGATGTGGAGAAACAGACAGCGCATGCTTTTCCTCTGTCCATGTCAGATGATTCCTTAAAGTGTGTTTGGTTTAAGATAAAAATATGAGTAATGCTAAGAACATTAACTCAAATCTTAAGTTTTTTTACACTTAATTGACGGGATATGTGAATTATCATATTTTTATCTATAAATATAATATCTTATTATTAATTAACGTGACAATATAAAAAAGAAAAGGGGTGGAGGGAGATGCTTAATCCATGGTCTGGTTGGAGGGTGAGATCTCCATCTTAGCTCACCAAATTAATTCCTTCCAAGAAATCCTTGATAGTCAAATTTAAAAAGACGATTTTACTCTCTCTATGTATATCTAATAAAAGACAACTAATTTAGTACTGACTTCAGAACATAATTGAAGTTTCCAGATTCAAATCCATCATTATTATAATTAATATATGCGAAAGGGCAAGCCCATGGTCAATAGTACTCGTCACATATATCAGGAGTTAATTAGTTGGATTAATAGATTTTGGATTGTAATGTGAGGTAGCTGATACTACTATCCTTTTCTGCCTTCGCATGCAAGCAAGTGGACATGGTGATATGACAACTTAATCAAGGAGATTCGTCGCAATGGTATCATTATCTAGAAAGAAGTTTTGAGTGAATAAATCTGTCAGTATCTGTAAATCTTTAGAACATAATGAACTCTTTACTGTTTAGACGTGCCCCATAAATATAAATGTGCGCATCAGACTACGATATTAATTTCTAATATTATCTGTATTTCACTTTATATTCTTACTCGTTTAATTAGACTTTACTGAATCCGAAAACTAATTAATTATTAGTGTTTTAAAAATTATTACAACACTCTCTAGAACACTGACTTAAAAATAGATCTAACAAAAACTCTACAGTATAGATGGACAAAAGGTCTTGTGATGGTCAGTGTTAAATTTGTGACGTTGAAATTTGAACATGTTTACTTTACGTAAGCATTTGGTTGCATCTTATCTCTCCTAGCAAATACATGAAAGAGGGCTACAAAAATACAATAAAAGCCAACTGTTATCCCGGTCAGCAAAATTATATATTCATTTCAACATGTTTTTTTTTTTTTTTTTTTTTTTTTTTTTCTTCTTCAATTTACCATAATGGTTACAACTTGTTCTGGATACTTATGACAGTGGCCTTGGGCCAACTGGTCATCAGCTGTGTGTGTTCTTTCTATTTCTTCTATTTTGGACTCTTCCCAAAATTAATTACTTTATGTTTTCTCCTTAAATGCTCTTCCAACATGTTTCGTAACGCTCCATAAATTTAAATGCACGAAATATAGTAGAAAAATATTATTACTAAGTTTAAAAAAAAAAAAAAAAAAAAAAAAAACTTAATTCAGTGGGCAAGACCCATGGTTACCGCACACAGTCTATGACTTGCTGCCTATTCTCATTAATTTGTATTATTGTCTTCTATATATAGTGCTTTGAGCCATGATTTGCTTGACCCACTTCATCTTTTATCCTCTTTTCTCTTTCTTTTTTTCTTTATAATATGGTCTGATGTTTATGGCTTCTATGGTACATCCATGTGGTATATACTAATTATTGTTTAGTATATTAGGATTTACTTCATGGTCTTAGTAACAACATGTTTAATGAATGATGATTAATCTAATTAATTAAGATTTCCTTTCAAAATGAGCAATGTGATTGCAGTAATTAGTGGATGCTCTGGCAATAATCATGCATATGATCTATGATGGCATGCATGCCCTCCCACAAATGCCTATCTAATAAGGATTTCGGCCACGGTCGTGAGTTGTTTTCACGATTACATAAATATGTATAATTAATTTGTTATTTTTCTTTTTCTCCTTTTCATAATATCCTTGGAAACATTATTAAATCTTCCGCAGTACGCAAAACTCGCTCGATCGATCGGTTTGAACAATGACAAACCTCTAACTAAATTAATATGATTACTCACAGCATAATATTAATAAACGTCATTCAGTGTTTTGGTTGGTCCCAAGCCTCTGGCCTAACAACCTAATCATAATTTGCAGCTTAAACTAATTAAGTATATTTCTTTAGCTTTATGTGAACAGCAGTCAAGTATATCTGTTTCTCTTATATATCTTTTTTTTTCCCCCCCTTGTCGACAGCTAATTTTGATTTTTGTTAAAACGTCTCACCCAAACTAATCTATTAATATGTATCTCTCGTCGTACCCCTTTGTTGTTTTTACAATGTCCAAACTAATAAATTAATGAATATCACAATTTAATTCCAGCAACAAAACAATGACTATTTAAAGGACATTAAAAAAAAAAAAAAAAAAAAAAAAAAAAAAAAGAAAGAAAGAAGAAGCCTTTTATGTTGCAAAAGTCATTTGCACCATACTGGCATGGCCTTCCCATGATAAGCATCTTCCTCAAAGCCATAGAAATTCAATTTATTTATCACTTCTTTTTTGCTTACTCACCATCCTTTTTTTTTTTTTGAAAAAAAATCATATCTAGTTATCAATATATCTACATATATATATATATATATATAGATATGCATATACATAAATTGTAAAAACTAGGGTGGTAAAGTCTATATAACCTAAAATGGTGCCTTTATTTTTTTTACTGGCATATATTCAGTAGGATTCTGTGGGCAAATCTAAGGGGAAGAGAGTCAACTTATCCAAGTAGTAACAAGTGACACCAAAAACTAAGGGGGACCAGTGCAATGCACCCCTGCTGGGCAAGATATTTTACAATCACCATCACCTATAGCTAGTTGCAACTTTTTCTCCTTTTGTCTTTTTTGTTTTTTTGTTTTTGTTTTTTTGGTTTTGGTTGACAAGACTTGTTAATTTGATGCTTGATAAGATCACAACAAATTTGTTAAAATGTCGTTTGCTTAAAAATAATCTTTTTTGGTGGGTTGGTTTGATTTGTGCACACCAAATTAACAACTTAAACAAACAAATTCAATGGAATGAATATGGCAGCTCTAATGTCATGAATCGATCAAGCAAAGAAATACATGAAAAAAAACTTGTGTCTTATATATTAAGCTAGCTAGCTCTTTAATTAACATGTAATACAATCATCATAATCCGCAGTAGTACAGAAAAAAAAATCAGTTAATCCTCAGTGTCCCAAACGGGCTAGACACAAATCACGCACCATTATTTTTCCAAAAAAAAAAAAAAAGAGGGAGAAAAAAAACCTACCACAATCTATACAAGTTCAAGTAGTTTTTCATCCTTCTCTCTTGTTCATCTATTGCTAAAAATTAACAAACCATATTTTTGCTTCGTTCGTCAGCGACAACATTGATGATGATCATAATTAACGACATCAACTTTTTTTAATAATGATGATGATCATTATAATTCATCAGCAAGTGTAGAACTCGACAAGCTCGTGGGTGGACCCAAGCTGATCCTCGGAGTTGTTGTCGAGAATCCACAGCAAGTGTTCGAACAGCACCACCTCGCAAGCCACCGAAACGCTGCCGTCGTCTTGATCTGCGTCCACGTGGCGGCCTTCTCCGCCGCCGGATTTGTCGACCAGCTCCTGAAACAGCGGATGCTCCACGACCTCGGAGCTAACGAGGTACCGCCGCCGAGCCTTCCCGACGTAAACGGCGCGAAGAACGACGTCGTCGTTTTTGTTCTCCGGCGAGAAGTTCGCGGCGGCGGAGCTGGAACAGCTGGTGGTGCGGGTGAACTTGGTGAATGAAGGCCATCTCTTTATGGCTGACTTGAGCTTCGTTAGCTTCCCGACTTTCGCCATTTCGAAACACGTTGTACTGAGAAAATATGTAAAATATTTCAAGAGTTTCTGTGATTTATTTTGTTGGTGATAAGGAAATGGAGAAGGAAGGTTCGTATTTATATATGTATATATGGATGAGAAAACATGAAGAATTATGCATGGCCCACTGTTTCATTACAGCTAAGAAATATTAAGATTTTTAGGTGACAAATACAAAAACCAAAATTAAAAAAAAGAAGAAGAAGAAAACAAAACAAAAACCAGTTGCGCCTCTTGGGCAAGTTGGCGTGGGCTGAGCTTAGCAAATGAATGATCATTATCTGTTTTTGAATGCTTCTGTTTTGTTCTATTTCAAATTACCTAAACACCCTTTTCCAATATTCGTCCTTGACCTTTTTTTTTTTTTTTTTTTTTTTTTTTTTTGTAATTCTTTAATTTAATTTTTGGGGTTGTAGGAATGATATTATGATAATACGATATAAGAGAAAACAGGTGCCTTCCACGTATCAATGCCACAAAATCAAATGATTGAATTGTGCAAAAGATTAGGCACCATTTTATTTGTTATAGACTCTAATAATCAACATGACAGCTGTATATAGTTGTATATATATGAATTGATGGAAGACAAGAATTGGGCACGCCACAATATGATTAAGCCACCAATTTCTTTCTAATAATCAATGTTTTCGTTTACTAATCCAAATTCATGATTTTATAATCTCTCTCATTATTTTTTCTTTTGTCGACAAGCTTTAATATAGTAAATCCTTTGTTTTGTAAGTCATGAATATATTGGTGGAAGTGAAAGGTGGAAGATACATAGAAAGTAGAAGGGTAACTATGTAAAAAGAACCTCAATTGGTTGTTGGTTATGATCTTTCTTGTTCTAAATCTAATCTTGGTGTTCATAGCATCATGATATCATACGAACAAAAACAAAGCTGTTGGTTGGTAAGCAGTTCACCAGTTTCCAAGTGAGGTGTTTTTTGTGTGTGTCGAATTTCACAACAGCCAAACACCATCCACGGGCATCTTTTCCTCTCTTTCTTACCCTTAAGTACCGACTTTTGTCTTCACCTAATTATAATTCGTGCGTTACCATCTTCTCTTTCTAGCGGACAAACCTATGCAAGGGATTTCTTTCCATGCATGAAAATTAACAATCCAATCCAAAAAAAGAACAAAAAAGAAAAAAAGAAAGAAAGAAGGAGGAGTAAGAGGAGAAAAAGAAGAAGAAGAAGCAGCCATCCATCAGCAATAATTAGATCTTATAAATGTAAATAGTAAACTTTTGCCAAACCATTTTAGATACAATTTATTTTTTGGGTGGTTGCAAAGCGTAACATAGTGGTAATTTCATACATGACTTCATGTGTAAAGTTCAGACCCGTTTAGTTCGCTGATTCGAATTTTTAATTCGAGTTAAGATGTAACTTTACGTGATAGCTTTTTATTGTAACAAAAAAGTTAAATGTGACTGTTTTTAAGAGCTTTTTACCGTAGCAAAACTTGAATTCTAAACTCGAATCGGTAAAATAAACGGGGCCTTCAAATGGTCACCTCAAAATTAAAAACAAGAAAAAAAAATCATCTTTTAGTAATTTTTTGGGAGAATTCTGTGGTAGGCATGAAGTATAAGTACTTAACCAATAAGGTGTATCTTTAAACCGTCAAATCTTTATCATGTTCTATTAAATTGTTGTGTTTTCTTTATTTTGATACAATTATTAATATGATATAACCAGTTTGGAAAATTATATCTTATTTGTATTGCATTTTCTTTTCATGCCCCAAAGATTTCTCGTTATTTTTGTGTTAATTAAGGTTTGAGAAAGTCGTAGAGCCTTTTTTTTAAGTGTGGATCTATGCTTTAAGACGTACGTCTCCCAGAGAAGAATAATGATCACAACCTAATTGATTGCTTTAAGTCCATTTAATTTACACATAAAAAATAACACATGATCATTCCCTTTGCTGAAGCCTTCTCTAACAAGATTAGTACAGAGTTTCTATTGGAGGCAGACAATAGTACTATTACTAAGGGTACACTAATTGAGCTGGTACGGGACACGAGGAAGAATATTTAAACTAAAGGCCCAAAAACATCACTAGGTGACAATGTTTGTGGTCCAATTTGTATATTTATGTAATTGGTGTTCGAAAATATCTGCCATAACTAGAGACAAATTTGCTTCCAAAATGTTGAATATTTCAACCACTTGTTGGACCAATATGGTCATAGTCTTTCCTTACTGTGTCGGCGTTGGATAGAATGAAACTATAACTAGTCACCTAGTAGGATGCCAATCCTTTGCTCTGTCTTGCTTTATGGCGTTCTCGTTTTCCTTTTGTGGTGTTTAAAAACAATTTGAAGTTAAAAAGAGTCAAAATTTGACGTGCCAAGGAACTATAATAACACTACCGATTATTTAATGAAGTGATAATGCTACTCGTTTTTCTCTATAAGATTTTAAGTTTGAGTCAGTCTCACTATAATAAACAGAAAATGAAATTCAAAATTATACCATATAAAAATATCTTGTCTATAAAGTTATGTGGATACACTGCCCTTCATCCTTGTATGCCTTTTTTCGCTAAAAAAAAAGAAAGAAAAAAGATCAATAACAACAGAGTACTATGTTCACCAACATTCAAATTATTCCTTTATGAAGATAATAATAACACTATATAGAATAAAATATTCACTCTCTCACACTGATTATATGGCCTCGTGAGAAATAAAAATAGTCATAAATCTCGTCTGTAGCGTATGGGTGTCTTCAGCATGTGCCTAAGGATTGGATCATTATAAGATTTTTTTCTTCTTCTTCTTTTTTTTTTTGGTTTGGATCATGTAGTAATATACGGCCAGCTCTGGAATAATGCAATATGGAGGAGCAGGAAAGTGCAGATTGCAGAAACCCCATATGATATGACCCTCTTCATTATTTTGCTTAAGAAAATCTTGCAGAATATCTTAGTATATGTGGCAGATAATGGGCGGCCAAGTACAGTACAGGCCCGCGGTTTTAGACAGCTCATCAACCTTAAGCGAAATCTTTTATATAGGCGTCGTATAATGTGTGTATATACATGATATAATTCATACATCAACACGTTTTCATTTTTAGTAAATTATTAAGTCATGCTAACGGAAAAATTTAGCATTTGAATGATCCACAATACCATACACATGTGTGCGTACATACCATACACATGTTTATGTAAGTGTGCGTATACGTGTATATGCATGGTATTGGTATATATGGATGTAAACTGGGATGGGTTTTATATGTGTGTATATGCAGATGTATTGAGATACAGTGGTATTAAACGTGTGATATGTATCGTACTATACAAATCCCACGTAAGACTGGTTCATGGGTTCTGAGTCTTGTGACAAATCCCATATTTATGTTGATAGGTATGTTTTTGCGTATATGTGCGTAAATGTGTATATTATACGTGACTATCGGAATATATATATATATATATATATATATATATGTGTATATATATATATTGGCAGAAACTATTAATATTGTACAATCTAAGGGCAGCGCAGTGAAGGGCAAGGACATGCTCAGAATTAGAGGGAAAAAATACTAACATAATTTAATTTCCACTCACAAAATGATATGTCGTTTATGGAGTAAACAACAACGCACTGCTACGACGTGACCTCTAACTTGCCCGAACAAAAGGTTTCGTTTTTGACATACAAAAACACGTCGTTTTGACTTCTAAGACAACATGGTGTGTGTGTGTGTGTGTGTGTGTGTGTGTGAATAATTATCCAAACAACGACATCGTGTTTAACATCTCAAACAACACCTCTTTTTACTAACATAAAGGAGAACTTTTTAAACATAACATGTCGTTTTTATACTTAACAACGAGTGAAACATTCAAAACTAATGTTCTACATCGTCGTCAATTTTCATAAACGACAAGAATTGCAAATGAAGCAACATGTCGTTTAGGATATCAAACGACATCAAACTTAGACAATATAAATTATATAATACATCTCGTTTCCATGGGTTGAAAGCATACTGGTAAGCAAAAAGTTAAATTCCATAAAACTGATGTAAATGGAACCATTAATCCCCTTCATTTTTTTTTGAATTACATACCCTTTAAAGTGTAGAGTCAAGATTATACTCTTTATTTTTTATTAATAACTTTTTTAATCAAATAATCATACTAGTGAAATTATATTAATCATAAAAATTATATTGGTAAATTCTACAGTTTTCTCCGCATTTTTTGTACATTTTTTTTAATTTTATGTTTGTTATTTGGCAGATTCAATAGCCTTTTGCATTAATCATTGCGGGCCAATTTGGAACATACATTAAAGTCAATAACTCTGATTTATTGACGGAACTTTTGTGAGAGAGAAAAAAATTTAAATTCAAACTTTTTGTAAGATTAAAAATACTATAGCATAACCGAAATTATAAATGCAAATATATCCTCTAAACAATTCCAATATTTCAAAAAGTTGAGAAGCTTGCTCCTCTTTTCACCGTTCCATTACAAATAGGGAAAATGAAATCAGCAAAATAGTGTCCAAAATATTAACACTTAGAAACACAACGACACCAAAAAATAAAGAGAGATTCTCTGGTACGTTTAGCTTACCGGTATATCAGGTTTTTTTAACTATTAGATATGTGTATTTTTTAATTTTTACGTAATTTTATATAGATCTAACGGATAAAAAACTTGACCTACCGATAAGAAAGTCCTAAAAAAAAAGTTACCGCTTAAAATGCATAAAAAAGGCCATAACAAATGCGATAATGAATAGTAAACCTATGATTTTCAACCTTATTTAATCCACTAATCTCAGCATCCTTGTCTTCAAGTTCTTTAGTTGCATCCTCCAATTTTTAGATTACAACCTCCATCTTTGCAATATCTTCATCACTTAATGAAAATTCGAACCTCTTCCATTTTCAATTTCTTTTTTTTTTATTTATAAAAAATCTCATTTTATCTGTAAATGTTAAAGGACATCACTTATGGGTTTCATATTACAAGACTTAAGCCTTGTTCATTTTACCGATTTGAGTTTATAATTTAAATTTTGTTACAGTAAATTTTTTTTAAAAATAATTACATTTAATTTTTTTATTACAGTACAAAATTTTCACATAAAATCACATATTAACTCGAATTAA